CAACTGCGATCGGACGCAGCACAACACGTAAAGGCAAGGCGCAAGATCGCGAGACGGCTCAAGTGGTCAGAAGGCTCGCGGATCAAGCAACCACGTAGTGGACAAGGCGATCTCGTTGAGATCAGGGTAACTTGTATTAGTACCCACAAGTACCCCGTGATCGCGTGAAGATATCCGCACGATCACAACCCCATCCACAACACGGTCAAGTTTTCCTCCGACACCAGTCCACCTGGAAGAGTGCAACCCGCCCTACCGACGTGTACACAAGGTGAGGAAGGCAACACACGGAATCGGAGTACCCCCTCCGTTAGTCAGTCGTCCGGGCGCCAGTGGAGTGTTTGGATCGACTCATAAAATGAACGATAGTCACTCCACCACACTTAGTGGGAGGTATTAGTAAAAGTAGGGATATATACGGGTAAAGAGTAGTACTGTATTTCATATCGTTAACCTTTAAAAAAATATGGAAATCTTTTTCTAACTACGACCACTCATTACGTATTTCCGTCGTGGCTTGCTATTTTTGGTTGATTGCAAGCCCGAAGTGTGAAGCTATTAGTGACTGTGCGCAAGGGAAATACCGATGTGTTAAAACAGCACTTGCCTAAGTGTGCGCGTCTGCGTGTCTGTAAATATTGCTAAATGTAACTTACACGTTGTATAAAGTGCGACCTAGCATGTACCTCCTCATAGGTATATAGGAATGGTCAAATTCTTTTTTTGACTGGTTCCCTTTTGTGGCGCGCGCATGTGGTTGGCATTAAATCTATCACAGGTGAAACTATCACTAAAAGAAATGCTGGACGCTCATAGGCAAAGGCTGATCACGTAGCCCGAATATACTGTGCTTAATTTTTACAGCAGCCAACACAAGGTGATCATCTTTATTGGCTGTTTTTGGACAGTGTTTTGCGTTATTATCTAGTTCTAGGAATTGGATTACACATAACAACGGGTGAACGACAGGGCTTGCTACCCTATCTTATCATTACTTATGTCAATTCATGAGCGGCTAATTTCTACTGTAGCACAGTGTGGACTGATAAAATATTAGAGAATTGTCAAACTCACTCCTTTCTTTGGTTAGATTCACTATCTTTACCTTCTTTAGGTAAACACGTGCAGCAATAAGTTATCATTGCTTAATATTTAGTTGATAATTATACTTATTTTCTCCTATGTACTCTCGCAAGCCGAATTATGGTTATGGCTATATGGCATTACCCAGGCCTAGCGGTGCTACCAATTGTCGTACCTTTAGACAGGGCGATGTCATGGAAAATAAGATGGCGGCAATGCTATTGCGTACGTAATCAAAATAAAATAGTTATACTGGTTGGATAAGACTTCGTCTACGTCTATTGAATTAATAATATCGATAATTCTCCCTATATAAATTATGTCAAGACATCAATACTGCACCCCTGGAAGCAAAACGAAAGTCATTCATAGGAAAGTCGGTCACGCGCAGCTTCAAAATGGCATTAATCGGTCATGAAAAAAGTATAAACACAATAAAAAAGAAGAAACTGAAAAGGGAAAAGAAGGAAACGACTATGAAAGGGGTGGTGGCAATAATGATTATTAAGGGCATTCATGCACGTTAGAAGATCAGCAGAAACAGCAGCATAGATTTCACACGACGTAGTAAATGAGCCACAAAGAAGAATCAAAAGTCTAGTATATCGTGTGGCTATTGATATATTTAGCTATTATCATAAACCCCACGCGATACTGCAATGTGTTTTTCTGCTTCTCATCGATACATCTGGATGCATAAACGATAAAAGTGCGCGTTTACGTAAAAATAAGCTTTGGTCTTAGTTTATTCATAAATACATACTTTAATTAAATTGTTAGTTCCAACACTCTTTTTACAATCTCCATCACACAATAACTTTAATTTAAATAATTACAAGCGCACCACACTGTAGAAAAATTTGCTTCGGTTCTAGTTACTCAAGCTCTTTTTCAATATCATTAGCAATGTATTACGTCTTTGGAAGCAGCTCAATCATTTCAGGCCACTTGGGCTTGCTACCTCGCAAACTTCTTGTACAGCATCGCAAAATCTAGTTGGCCGTCCTCTCGCTCGGGTAGCAAATGCTGAAAGAACACAAATTCTTGCGACGATTGAACCTGCTGCAGACAATAAAATTTTAGCCTCACATCCAGTGGAACTAATCAATACCTAAATGTTGTGCCACGTTTTCAGTATTGTATGCACTTCGTTCTATCGCGTATGCATCGTCCTAGTATAAGTACCCATCTCAACCTCGAGTTTTTGAATTACCCACTCGCTGTAGCCAAAAGCACATCACCGGTGTATCAACCACAGCAAGTACACCCTCTCTGATTCTTTTTTTTAATCTCACTCCTCATCTTTGTGCTCGTCATCACTTTTTTTTCTCGGGTGGCGGGCGGTGGCGGGTACGCAAAAGTCAGCTGAGCTTTTCATCCAACTTTAGGTCGGATGCCAAAGTTATAAATGGAATTTTACTAGGCAGGATGGATTGAAATGATGTGAGTTTGGTGCGAATAATGGACTACAAAACTCGAGGTCTGCTACCGAAGGCACAGATATCATCCAGGGAAAGGTGGTAAGTGCAGGAAAGTAAATGAATCAGCTGCTTATTCTTGACTTGTTTTCACACTTTATAATGCTGTTTCGGCTGTGCAAGTATCCTTTAAATTGCATAAAAAAGCGTTAGGTGGTGTATTGCGCCTGTTATGATTTAAGTAAAAGGTAAGGTTCTGTGGAGATGGTAAAAAGTGTAGTGGAAGTAACAAATGCTGTACTTTTAATAGTTGTGCCATCGTCAAACCTTCACAGAAATTGAGAGTTACTGTGGCATCCACCCCACTCTCAATAAGTTCAGGATACGTCAATTCAAATCGGTGGTTATTTTTGTGTCACGAATGCCGCGAGTAAAGAATGATGAGTCGTACTGATCGAACGTTTGATGATGTAAGAGTCAGAAATGGAAAGTTTGCGGACGACCGTCGTAATAGGTTTTTAAGGTGTATGCACTAACGAACTTCTCGTTTAAGCAGGATGGTACCAGATAATATGGATGCTGAACGGGTAAATTATACACATATATCGAATAATCATAATTGGCTGTTATGAATGTTTACTTTACGAAAGAAAAGGGGTGAATCCAACCAGAATAGGAGTGAATCTCACGCCTCTTAAACAATAATAAATAAGAATAGGGAGCCGTTAAGCTTCCCAATTTTTTCTGGTAATCTTCTCAGCTTAAAAAGGCTAAATAATTGGCTAATTTATAGACATGTCTTGATGGCATTTTATCACTATAATCGGAAATAAACATCTATTTGTCCTAACTCAATGTAGTTCGCAATCGTTTTATGTGCTATTTTGCGCAAGGTTATTTCAAGTTTTGCCTGAAGTGTTTGCGGACTGGAAGCTTTTAAGTCTGCAGACGCTCTCAATCGCTCGGTATGTTTCAAGGGTCGACGCCACAATAACAGCAAGCAATCCCCATCACGCTCACATGCAAATGTTTCGGCGGTAGTGGGTGTAAAGGTGGCTCCTTTCTTTGGAGCGTATTTGGAGCATATTTGGATCAATGTATCACGTGCACGCGACGCTTGTTATAATTGTTTGTCCTTTTCGCTTCTGTATAGATTTCTATTTCCTGTGATGTTCCGAATCTTTTAATCTACAATGCAGGTCCATAAGAGCATGCAGGAGGTCATAAAGATGTTTTTGCACAGGGGTCTTATGACAAGCGCGCTTGCATAGCTAAAGCGGGTGCTTCCTTCATAACGATGATGTTATTAGACCGCAATAGTGGGATACCGATTTACGATCAATCAGGTGATAGGGCTGCCAACGAAGCCGAGGAATGCGTTCTCGTGCAAGTAAGCGTCCATTTCAGTAATGCACGAGAGATAGTGCCTACAAAGTTTATAGACTCGTACTGAGGAATGCAGTCAAAGTTACTTTGATCTATAGATTGGTTCCGTTAAGTTCTGAAGGTGTTGGCTCGATAAACTCCCGTATCGTTGTGCATTATGACTCACCCGTGTGAAACGGCTGCATCTTCTTCGCAAATTCCAATGCATTTATTGCATCTTTGATGCTGATCGTTGCTTGCTTTGTTTCGGTATGATGGCTGTACACTCACTCACTTATTCACTCACATCTACTGATTTTAAGGACACAGATTTCTGTGGATGGAACGCCGACAATCACACGTCCACCACACGACAATTGTTTGCAAAAAGTTCAAATGTTTATGATGACGACAAAAACAGACCTTTTAAACCTTAATGATAGTTACAACGTTTCCTCTACTCTTATCTCATAATTAGCTTATCAGGCAGCGTTATATCAACCCGAGGGGTTTTTTTCGGAAATAGAGGGAAGATCAACGATTCCTACCACAATACTGTAAAGGGGCCCCTTGAGCTTGTACTGATAACAGTACAAGCTACTTATTCTGATGACAGAATAAGGCGGTGCCGCGCAACTTCACGTACACTGGTACATGGAGAGGAAGACGGTAAGGAGAAGCGAGTACTTAGTTTAAGTAAAAAGTAGAACTGTATTTAGTATAGTTAATGTCTGTTAATAAACCACTATTTATCCTCATTTAACTATGTCTGAATACAAATGTGCATATCAACTATCTGCTCACCACTCATTGCGTGAGTCTGTTGTGGCGCGTCTTCGTTGGTTGATATAATGGCCTATACCAACCTATTAGGAACTACTCGTAAGTGCTGCAGAATATTTGTCCTTATGACAATATTCTGAGAATATAACTCTTATAGTTATATTCTATTAACAATTTCTTATAAATTGTTATGTAACGATTCACCCCGTTACATCACCCCCCCTCTTAACCATCGGTCACTTTAGTGACTGATTGACTAAATTGTCACTCGTCCCAAATCATTTGGGACAGGGTTTGCACTTGTTGGTCCGAGTCCACTTTCCAACAGTTCATCGCAGGGTTAACAAAACCATGCGGGGCGCGAGCAAGGCCGCCGAGAGCGCGTCCGCACGTCTCTGTGCGGACGCCGAAGCAGAAACCGCAGCAACTGATGTGTCACCTGGTGATGCAGGCGCTCGTCATGAAGACACTCAAGTCTTCACAGAGTATGATCTCGGTGTCTCATACTCTCCCGATACGGAAGACGGATCCGTATCGACGGCGATCGAAACCAAGCCGCCTGCCGAGCGTGGCATGGATGATGCTACGCGTCGTAGCATCTCTAGTTCATCTGACGAATCAGATGAACCATCGCCGAAGCGAAGGCGCTCGAGGTCGCAAGACTCAGGCGCTCATAGTGGTGTCGGTTCTCGTATTGACACCACTTCGCAGCGAGGTACCAGTACTTCTGTCGGCACGTCGCAAGAAGAGCGGGACCGCAGTGTGTTGCGTCTCGCTCCCGAGAAGAAGGCATGGATGCCTCCAAAATCAGTCATGGATCACTTGTCGGCGACGACGAGTGATCGTTATCGAGCACGGTTGTTCGATTCGTCAAGGATCCATCACCTTGATTCCAGTGCGAAAAACTATCGCGCTGAGAATGAGTTCTTCATCGATGCTTTCTTTAAGCATCGATGGTACAGTGTGAATCACAAACGTGATGGTCCCTCACTGCTTCAAGCGTGGAACGCCTACATCCATAACCTTGAGGATGTAGGTCGTGACGTTTGGAACGACAAACTTATCAAAGCTCGGGATAAGTTTGAGAAAAGAACCCCGACAGGTGCACGCTATGAGCTGCATCGTCTGTCAAGGGAGAAAGGATTACCCTGCCTTTCTTGGGGAGACCCGTGCCCTTGTCGTGTAAACAACTCTGCGCGCACACCTAAGGAGGCTTACCTCCTTACTAGCCCGTGGTGGCGCGTACGTATCTCTAGTGACATGTACGAAGGGATTGCCAACCTGAAATCCCTTTACGACCGTGCCGGGAAGACTTTCTCCAGCGTTCCTTCTGCGGCACAGGATGTGCCGCGTCGTACTGCTCAACCAGACCCAGTACGTCAAGTTGGGAGCAAGGCTCCCAAGAATCCCAGGACGGGGGATAGCCGCGCCACCGGACGAGATGACTCGTCCGAAGTCCGTTCAAGTCGCGGTGGTTCAACAGCTGCTCAACCTGATAGCGCTGGCCACCGCGAAAGTCCTTCAGAGGAGGTGGAGGAGGAGGGAAGACGCTCTTCAAGTCTCTTTTATCGCGTAGCGTTTGCGTTACGCGACGACCTCGAGCATGAGCGGGACAGACGTCTTCAGTTGGTGGACGCTGTCTTGAAGCATCGAGCTGACTTTGCCTTTGCTCAGCTTGAGAACGAGAGAAATTGGACTTCTCTGCGTAATGAGCTAAGGATAGCTCAGGCGGAAATTGACCATTCTCGAGCTGAGATAACTGCTCTTCAGACCCTTGTCGATGGCCACCATCGGGAGCACAAGTCTCTCTGTGAGATGCTTCAGCGCAAGGGCATTCTTCATCGGAAGAAGCAGCGTACTGATGGTACAGCTTAAGCCGACCAACAAAAAACGTGGGATGCGCTCGCATCTTACGTGGCAGTTCGATCGTGTATGCATTGCCTAGGCGATGCAATACAAGAAATGGGCCGATGTACTTAGATAGTAGCTTAGTACTACCCAAGTTAGTCACTACATCCTTTAGTAGATTAACCGTAGACAGTATGAATAAGTCACCTTTATTAAATAAAAGAGTGTTTGCCCTTCCATTCTTGTCAGCGTTTTGCTTTTGCTTATCCACCGCTTCGGCGATGGAATCTTGCACAAAACGGACTACCGTCTCACGAGCCAGTATGAACTCATCTGATGACTCGTTAGCTTCAGTGTGCTGTGAGCGCACTGCAGCAACATCAACCTTTTCTTCAGTGAGGGCTTCCGCACTCTCACTGGCATCATCTTCTTCGATATCGATGTTATCGATATCGGCATCAAACGCAATGACTTCTTCGTCAGAGCGTGATGAGCGTGAACCAAATCGGTTTTTGCTCGCTCGAGTCCCTCCCCCCTTAAACCAGAGTTACACTCTAGTAAGGTTAAAATACGCGGATGGCGCAATCCATTCACGTAAAACGGTGTATGTGTCGTGGACGCATGCACCGAGTTGTTGATGGCAAACTCTACCATTGGCAAAAACTCACTCCAACTCTTAAAGGAGTGTACGTATCCTCGAAGTATCTCTTCAAGGACACGATTGGCACGTTCCGTCTGACCATCTGACTCTGGATGATCAGATGTCGACATCTTCAAGCGCGTTCCGAGTGATTTGAAGACGGAACGCCAGAAATCAGCAGTGAATCGTGGATCTCTGTCTGATACAAGTTCACGGGGTAACTCGTGAAGTCGGAAGATGGTGTCAATAAAGACACAAGCACAGCCACTTGCCGTGATTGACACTGGTACAGCCACAAGGTGTACCATTTTGCTGAATCTGTCTACAAATACAAGAATACCCGTATTCCTGCGTGCGTCTTTGGGTTACCCGAAGACGAAATCCATTGATATGGATTCCCAGCACTCTGCTGGAACTGGTAGAGGCTGTAGAGGTGCACGCAGTGAAGGGCTCGACTTCGCTCGTTGACAGACTTACATGCGCGAACATACTTTCGCATAAACTTATACTGGTGGGGCCAGTAAAAGTCTCGAATCACCGTTAAATATGTTTTTTCGCGGTCACGATGTCCTCCTATAGGAGCATCGTGATACTCGAACATGATCCGCAAACGCAGATTAGTATCATCTGGGATGACAACACGTGGTGTGTCACCAGTAACGAATGTACAATACAGTAAACCGTTGCGAGTAGTGTATCGATCTGATGCAGATCGATACGGAGACGATAATCGTTTTAACGATTCTCGAGATGGTTGGGAGAGATGTGTCAACAATTTCACAATGTCACCATCTTGGGCGTATGCCCGCCTCACATCATCATACAACGTTAAAGATGGCATTGTGGACGTCACAACCTCAACAGTGGCTGTCCCACTGTTGGGTCTCACGACTGGTTCAAAGTCGGGTCGATGTGAGAGTGCATCAGCGACGACATTAAGTCGTCCTGGTTTGTACTCGACCGTAAAGTTGTATTCTGCAAAGAATGACAACCACCGCGTCACTCGCTGTGAAAGGTGCGGGCTGTGTACTGCCGTGCGTAACGGCGCATGGTCTGTGTAAACAATGAAGGGTCTACCTTCTAATAGATAGACTCTGAACTTCGCGAGTGCATACTTCATGGCAAGGAGTTCCTTGTCATGCACTGGATAGTTCCGCTCAGCTGGTTGCAGCTGACGCTACTGATAGCAGACGACGCGTTCAACGCCTTCAAGATCGTACTGCACTAATGCACAGCCGATTGCGAAATCGATGGCATCACAGACCACATGAAATGGCCTGTACTGATCGGCATTTGCTAGGACTGGGGATTGTATCAAGCTCTGCTTGATACCATCAAAGGAGCGCTGACATTCAGCCTTCCATAACCACCTCTCGTTCTTTTTCAACAAACGAGAGAGGTGTACAGTCATCTCGGCGTAATTGCGTGAATACTTGTGCAAATACGCCGCTAGCCCAAGGAATTTTCGAAGACCTTTGACATCAACCGGCACAGGCCAGTCGGTGATCGCCTTGATCTTTTCGGGATCAGGACGTACTCCGTTCTTACCAACGATGCACCCAAGAAGTGGTATTTCGCTTGCTGCAAATATACACTTCTTGAGGTTTGCATACAATTGATGCTTTCGCATGATTGTAAGAACCTGTCGGACGTGGTATCTGTGAACCTCAACGTCCGACTTTCCATCCATAGCCCGACTATGGATGAATACGTCATCGAAATAACTCGGCGCGAATTATCGTACTGGTCTCAACAGATGTGATACACATCTGTTGAACGTGGCAGGGGCATTACTAAGCCCTTGTGGCATTACTAGCCATTCCCAGAGCATGCCGCAAGGCGTGCTCACTGCGGTATAGGGTATGTCCCGTTCTCGCATAAGGATTTGATAGAAGCCATCCATCAAATCCATGGACGAAAAGATGGTACTCTTTGACATACCATCAATGATTACGTCCTTCCTTGGTATCGGCGTCTGAGCCGGTACCGTTGCAGCATTCAACTTGTTAAATGCATGCACTATCCGCCACCCTCCTGTTGCTTCTCGCACACAGAAGGTCAGAGAGCTATGTGGGAAAGTTGATTCCCTCACATGGCCCGCAGCTAAAGATCGGCAAAGAGCTTGTCGATCGCAAGTACTTGTTCACGAGGCAGTGGCCACTGCTTCATGACACAGTACTTCGAGCCTGGTTTAAGCTCGACCTCGTGTCGAATACCTTTAACCTTCGGTAATTCGCACGGAACAGTTTCAGGGAATACATCCTTAAATTCAACCAGATCTTTATCAAGAGGATTTTTCTTGAGCGATTCCCATGATTGGGAGTCATATCGCTCAACTCGTGTCTTTTCATCGAGGACACTCTCGTCCATCGATAAACCACTGAGAACTCTCTCGTTCTCAGTGAACACTGTTGCTGACCTTATGTCGGCTACACACTCGTCGTCAGCGACGAGTACGCAGATCTGCTTGACTTTGCCACTACGCAGACCACGCAAGAACCTCTTATGTTCGAGCGTCGGCAACTGAGTGATCTCCGAAGTCAACTTCGGAGGCGCAATCAGATCAAGTGTGTAAGCGCCCACACTTGATCCGTCATTGACTATGACATTCAATGTCTCTGTCATTTCCTGGGGACTTATTTCCTCAGGCCTCGAAAGACTTATTCCTTCGGCATCCCGGGGACTTATTCTCGCGGGTTTCGGGGAACTTATTTCCACCGTTTCTGTAATCTTGGGATTTATTCCCTTTACTTCCTCTAGCTGGGGTTGCGCAACCACAGCGAGATCCTCTACAAAAGACTCTATAGTCGATCTAGGCTTATCGTTTCGCTTAACCTGAGTGATCGATGGTTTCTCTTCTTGATGTTCCCCGCTAGAGATACATCTTTGTCCCGGTCCACTCGAATTATTCGAGTGGTGGACCTTCGGCACAGCCTGTGTTTCCTCACAGCCGCCGGAACTTTGCTCCGAAGTGTAACCGTTTGGTACACTAAGGTTTTGTGCAGTCGTACTAACGACCGTACCACAAGTGAGGCCATCGCACTCACTCGTAGTACATCCACACGCTTGTGGACGCTCCAAAACGTTCATCAGATGGCCATCTGATGAACAAGCGGCAGGCATCGTTACTGCTCGATATTGACAGTTTACCCGTGGTTCGTATCTTGTGAGCCACGGTATTCCAAGGATGACATCAAATTTGTCATCCAAATCCAATGTGACGATTAATTTATCGTCAAATTTGTCATCCAAATCCAATATGACGATTAATTTATCGTATTGGATTTAATGTGACGATTAATTTATCGTCAAATTTGTCATCCAAATCCAATATGACGATTAATTTATCGTATTGGATTTGGATGACAAATTTGATGTCATCCTTGGAATACCGTGGCTCACAAGATACGAACCACGGGTAAACTGTCAATATCGAGCAGTAACGATGCCTGCCGCTTGTTCATCAGATGGCCATCTGATGAACGTTTTGGAGCGTCCACAAGCGTGTGGATGTACTACGAGTGAGTGCGATGGCCTCACTTGTATCTTCTAGCGTATAGTGAATCTTCACTATACGCTTCATGACTGTTACGGATGCGCCTGTCGCGAAACGTACCGTCATACTCGTAGGAGGTGTGTCACACTCAACAAACTTAAAGTGACCATCTTCTAGCGATTAGCGTCGAACAAAATTGCTGGACGCCCCATAATCGACTAAAGCTCGAAGGGACAACTTATTTGTCACTTCGAGTTTCAAGGTAATGAGTGAGGTCTCATTACCTAGAGCAGCAACGCACAACGTTTGTGTGTTGGGAGCAGCCTTCATCAAGAGGCCTACAAATTCTCTTGACTTTGCTGGACCAGTAGGGTGCTCCGCACCTGCTGATCCTGTCCGTTTTTGGACGGTCCACCCCGTTGTTGCGTCGTTGCACCAACAGCGGACCCGCGTCCCCGCCCCTTTCTCATGGGTGGACGGTCACTACACCCACTGTTGCGAGACACTGGACGAGGGCACTACACTTGTAAGCGTAGTGTCCTGTCTTTTGGCATCCGTTGCATTTCTGCAACTTCTCGTAGTCTGTTAAGTGAGCCTTCTCGCTCTCTACAGAACCGAGATCCACCGGCTCTGGACTTCCGCTGTCATATCGTCTCGATGAACGGTATGATGTCAAGCTGGCGCGAGCCTGTCTCAGACTGAAGTCTTCCTGTTCCGCAATGGAAATGGCTTGTTCTAGTGAATCTAGTTCAAGTCGGAACAGGTGAGTCTTGACGGGACCATCCGCAAGACCATGCATGAACACCGAAACCAACGTGTGTTCATCCACCGGATTGGAACTTATACAGCTCGTAAGATGTCGTATATGTTGCGCGTAAGCGTGCACATCACGCTTACCCTGTTTGAGCTTCAAGAGTTCGGTTCGAGCTCTGAACTCAGCTCCAGGCGGTTCAAACGTTTGTCTGAGCCGCGACTTGAAAGCTTCTAACGACCCAAACGCATATGGGTCGTGCAAATTGAGACCAAAGCCCAAGTCTTGGCACGGCCTGCCAGATTTGACTGGGCAAATGCAACTTGCATATCCCCGTCGTCGATGCGACGCGCCCTTATGGCGTCATCCAATTCGACGAACCATCTTAAGAGGGAGTCTACTTCGACTCCCCTATACTTGGAGATGTCAATCTTCAAGGTCTCGGGTCGACGCGAGTGCCTCGACCCACCAGCAGCAGTCTGCTGCTGTCTCAACAACTCTAATTGTTGAGCACCCTGTTCTCTCAACAACTCTGCTTATTGAGAACATTGTTGGTGAAGCAAGGCTACTTTCTCGCGTTCAGCGTCAAGTTCATTTTGAATGAACTTGATGATAGTAGCATGTTGGGCGTCTCTATTGAGAGCCTTTAGCATGACGCTAATAGCATGGATGCCCATGGTCGAACCCATCCGTTCAACCGCATCCCATTCGACATCGCTCAAATGGGAGTAGCCGTCACGCGTAGCGTGATAGCTTCGGTGATCATCCTCGTCCAACATATTCATGTTAGATGTGAACGTGGTCCTTGGTCGGACTACGAAGCGCTACCAGGTGTAACGGGCACCCCGAAGCTTGTACTGATGACAGTACAAGCTACTATTCTGACGACAGAATAAGGCGGTGCCTCGGAACTTCACGTACACTGGTACGTGCAGAGGAAGACGGTAAGGATAAGCGAGTACTTGGTTAAAGTAAAAAGTAGAACTGTATTTATAATAGTTAATGTCTGCAATAAATCACTATTTATCTTCATCTAACTACGTCTGAATACAAATGTGTAAATGAAATATCTGCTCACCACTTATTGCGTGCGTCTGTCGTGGCGCGTCTTCGTTGGTTGATATAATGGCCTATATCAACCAATTAGGAACTACTCGTAAGTGCTACAGAATATTTGTCCTTATGACAATATTCTGAGAATATAACTCTTATAGTTATATTCTATTAACAATTTCTTATAAATTGTTATGTAACAATTCACCCCGTTACAAATGTGATCTTTTGACATCATGATATTCGCACCTGATATTTGCCTTTAGTGAAACATCATGTGACGGACGCACCCCGTTACAGAATAGGCTCGGCGTCCGTTGTGCTCGCAAGTACCTGGCAGGTACCAGAGATTGCACCAATTCCTTTTCTTCAAATTCTACAGAATTGAAGTATAACGTCTTCCAACGTTCGTACAAAATGTGAACATCGGGGTCCCACGACAACAGATAACATGGCAGTGTTGCACGCGCGCACAGACCCTTTCGCTTGCAAACTCCAGTACTTTCGACCTCAACAGCAGGCTGCCACAAATGGCTACTTCAATCGATGCTAATCTCATGGCTTCGAAGTTGCCAGGCATCTTCTACATAATTATCCATGTTCATAGACCGTCATGAAAACTCATTTTACTTTTCACCGATTGTAGGTCTGGAAATTCACGAGACAGAAACAGTTTGGCGCACACGAGGGAGCGGAGTCGTGTGGGTCGAAAGCTGGTGTGACGTAGTGCCAGAGTCTTTTTATCGCAGTATACACTCTAATGGAAACGTGTTACGCCGTGAACTCCCATAAGACTGATCAATTCGAGCAGTATCTCATTCAAGTTCGACGATCATGTGAAGGACCTTAGTGCGAGTTGAGCTTGAGGTGGCCATGTTGAGGCGTAGCTTCAATTTGCTTGTCGTGCTAGCCGTCGTAAGTTGCTGGGTGCTGTCTTCGTTGACCACTACTCCGTAGGCTTGACTTCTACATTACGAAGGCTATACCAACCACAGCTGTCATTGAATTCATAGTCTGTACTCAGTATCTTTGCACTAGCGTCAACATTTAATATGTTGGCATGATCCACCATCCTGCTCGTGATGGCATAAGCGACAGAGGCAACAGCGGGTAGCTCTGTATCCGGAAAGACGTTTGGCCAGACCATATTGTGTGGTACCGCATTACCGGCTTCTTCTCTATCACCTATTCCAGATCCTATACATGAACGGGCGGCTTAAGAAAGGAAGAAAGTAGCTTGACGCTGCAAGACCGTGACACAAAGTCCAAGTGCAACGGCATGACTAGTAAGCATGTAAATCCTGGATATGGACCTCGACAAGAGCTACATTGCCGACAGACCAGGCATGTTGTAAGGGACAAAGAGACTGTAATCACAACCACATTCACTGAGCTTCAAGGTAATTCGTGCACGTAGTAAAGGCTGGTTTTGCCAGCTAATCTAGCGTCAAGAACAGAGCCGCGAAGAATGTCCAGCCATTCTTTTTTGGGTTAATTGTGCACTCCGAATGCAGTGTCCAGCCCTGAACTATCTACAAAAGGTACCAGCCTGATTTATCTGTGCCGGTAGAGCAAGAGTACGAGTCTTGTCGAGAATCCAAAATTGACACTCGTGCGATACCAGTGCTGGCGAACTCTGCGCTTCTCCTACTCCAGCTCCATAGATTGTGCGTGAGGAATGGAACGCACTGATTATTTGTTGTGGCCTCATCATCAGACGCTGGCAATGATGCAGTTTATGTTTTGTGTAGCATGGTTGATTAACGTTGCTGTCGTCGTCTACCCCGACTCGTGCTTGGCTTTCAGCCATTCTCGAATCAGCGGCTGTATACGATGCCATTTGACTGACATGCATCCTACGTTGAGGCATTGCGTGGACGCATTCGCCAAGGTCAAATACAGTTCGCTAGAATGTTCGTCATTGCTGTGCAATCTGTCATTCCATGGGGGCAGTGTATAGCGGTTATATCCTGTCTTCCATACATTTTGTGGTCGGATAAATTGAGTGCGGGATGCGCCGTCATTTTGGTGCCGAACCATTGCTGAAAATGACTGTAGTTATCGGGCACAAAAATGGCAGAAGAGAAGCAAAATACCTAGCTGTCGACGCTGACGTTGCAATTTGGTACTGGCATCTCCAGCGGCGCTTTTGTCTGGGCAAAACCCACGATCTACAAGCTTTACTACTCTAGTAGATGGATCAATGTTAAACGCTTTTTAGCGGTTCGATGAGCGAAGTCGTTGCATTGCAAAATAGCAGTTAACTCCTAGTAACCTAGTTCAATCGTTACTCTCTTCTGTCGAGTAAGTAAACGAGCTGTGGGTCAACACCGTAGTCGAGAAGGTGCGATGAAACATAAAGCCTTTTACGTTTATTCGGGAGGCAGCAACGAGGCCGGTAGAGCATGAATGAAGGAAGAGTCTCCTCGCCTTTGAGCGGTAGCAGTACCGTCGTCGCCACGTTCGTGTAACATAACATGGCTGTCAAATCTTAGCTGATCATGTGCATTGGTTGAGTGCTGCGTTGTCTCCTGTGTTGAACGATACCGAGATGCAGCTCTGTACTTGTGATTGAGTGTTGAAAACGCTCTCAAACCAACACTGAGATAGCACTTGTCACAACATCATAACTTCGTCCTCGTCTTGTTTCGGTACAGTTCCATTGCTAGTAATAACGTGAAAAAACGAGTAACGACAGAGAGCAGAGAAAATGATCAAATCAAGCGAACGGGAAGGGGTGGGGATGACAGCCCTGCGTTTGTACTTTAGTCTGTAATGGTCCCACCTTAGCGACCATCAGGCTCGAAACGCCATTACTGCCCGACTCCTCGGCATCAATCATCGTAGCGTCGTTGTCACCTGTCAGTCACTCAAGCGAGGCAGCACGTGTCGACACTGCCAAGATCTGCGCGCGATCTCCACGAACTCAAAGAAGCGACGACTAATTAGTGGAGTGGGTGGAGACAACATGCATACAAAGCATCTCTTACATCGAGATCGGTATCTCGTTCTTTGGAAGCCGGATTGGAAACACGAAACCTAAGGACGTTATGCATCGAAGCGCGCATGCAACTCCTCGTCAATGTGCTACTTTCGTTTGGAAAAGACTTGTTTTCGCTGCTGGCTTTTCTCCAAATCTGTGGCCACCATCAACTTTGACAGGTCCACTTCAATCTCACTGACAGAACCTCCTCGTTCGTCATCGCATGGCACTACTCGGCAAGCCGCAGCAATGTAACTACGACCATGTAAACTCTTACTTACTCACTCGCTGTCTTCTGCGTCTTCTTCTCGCCAAGTCTGACGTGGCAATATCCAATTACAGGTCGCCACGTTGGACAAGCGCTCGCTTAAATTCCAACTGGTCGCGACTTCCGCCGATTACACACGCGGGCTCGGCGACGGGCTGGGTATGCTATAGCGTAGTATCACCCCGCCTATTGGCTATAAAGTTTTCCCCATCACCACGCCCATTCGTGCATATTCTTCGGTCCATCCCTGACTGACGTCGTCCGCCTGCCTCCCCTCGCTCTCGTGTCTCAGCAACCAAACACAAGCCAAAATTCAAAGAGCTTTCCACTTCCTCTTATTCGCCGCTCGTGTCAATTGTTCGTAAGGCTGAGCGATCACTATAAGTCGTGAATGAGCATCGTGACCTCGCTCCGGGCGACCGACTTGATGCAGCACGAGGAGGCATCAACGAGTAGCGACCACTCGGACACGCACGCCCAGTGCACATGGGAGCATGAGATGCAGCGTGCCGTCGAAACCCGCGGCCGCAGCCGCAGCCGCTCGATCCTCGCAGACGACGAGGCCAAAAGCGCACCTGCTCCGCCGTCTCGAGCCGCTTGTGACTCGAGCAACATTCGTACAACATCCTCCGGACGCAGTCGGAGCTGTTCGTTTTCAGCGTTGGAACCCCCGCACAGCGTCTCGGCCGTGCAATACACAGCGCCTGACGACGGCAATTGTGACGTGAATACCGACGGGAACGCTGCGAAGCGAGCGGCGTCGCTGTCGAAGATTTATTTAGCAGGTTCTGCGCCGGTGGACGTGTCAAAATTGCAAGAAACGGGGCAGTTGAGTGCACAAAAGAAGGTGGAAGTCGTGCAGCCAACAGGCGCGCTGTCGGCTGCTGCTCTGGACGCGCTCTCGGAAGGTCTGCAGCTGTCGGTGGAGAACAATGCGAAGCCGTTGATGGCGTCGGCTACGAGAGCGGCAAAAGGCGAGGAGCTCACGGAAGAAGAGATAGAGGAGAAGAAGATGGAGGAAGAAGAGGACTGTAAACTCAAGGCGGAGAAACTGTCGGCGAGACGGTCGTTGGCCGTCCGGGCCTCGCTCTTTCGCAATAAAATGATGAAAAGCACCACGAGGTTGTTGGGGAACGGTGTAACGACAGAAGAAGCAGCTGCAGCGGCGGCAATAGCAGCAGCAGCAACGCTCGAGAACGAGCGCAGTGTCGAGCTGAAGGCCGTGGCTGGAGTTGAGAAGCCTGCGACGATGCTTGATGTTGCGGCGGTTGATGCAGGAGGAGCGGGGCCTGTGAAGAAGAGGCATAAGCTCAAGCTCTTGTTGCTGGGAGATAGCGGTAAGTGTGATGGATGTGATGTGGCACTGGTTGGTTGGGGAAGTGCTGAGTTGTTGAGTTGATGTTTTTTCACTGGATTTTGTAGGGGTTGGAAAGACGAGTTTGATGCGTGTCTTCTCTGGAGACGAGTTTTCCGAATCAATGCTGGCAACTGCAGGGTACGGGATAGTGACATGGTTGATCGGTTGTCATTTGGTGGGGTACTCACGCTTTTTTGTTGCTGATGATTGACGTGATAGTGTCGACTTTAAGCTTCGACACATTAACGTTGCAGATGAAGCGATTACACTTCAGATCTGGGACACTGCAGGTCAAGAGCGTTTTCACCGCATCACTTCTAGTACGTTTTGCTGCTGATGAATACGAATGGCACGCGAGAGCGAAATGGTTTGCTTATGGTTGCTGTGTTGATTGGCCACTTGTAGCATATTACAAGGGTGCGAACGGAATCGTGCTGGTGTACGACGTCAGCGATAGACGAAGCTTTGACAGTACGTGGCTAGATACTTGTTTTGTATAGTCTGGTGTACGAATCTATTCTTACCCGACTTGTGCTGGAACTGTGTGCTGCAGACGTTGGCTACTGGATGAACAACATTCGTCAGTATTCATCCCCGACACAGATGCCCGCGATGCTTCTTGTGGGAAACAAAATTGATCTGCCGAACCGTGTCGTGGCATTAGAGGAAGGTCAAGCGGCTGCGAGCCAGTACGGCTGCCGATTTATCGGTACGTGTACGAGTTGCTCTCTACAAGTTATGGATCAACGTGGTCGTAACGACTGGCGTGACGTTTTTGAAATTGCAGAAACGAGTGCAAAGACGTCAGAAAACACGAATGGCGCGCTCGAGACAATCGCGCGCGATGGGTTTATGATCAGCGTTAATCGTACGTGCTGCCTCACTGTCTCTGCTCCTGGCTTATGTGTTTGCTAATACACTTCTTGATTGCAGCTGCACTTACTCAAAAAATAGTGATGGATCGAGAGAAAACGCTGGCTGGACGACGCAACAAGGAAAACTGCGTCATTCAGTAAACGAGGAGGTCGCCCTTGTTGCACGCCAATCGAGGGCGACAGACTCACGACTACTGACGACTCTTTCCGAGCACACAACAGAGGTTGTACAAGCATGCCGACCTGCCGTCATTTTAACTTGGCACACTGGGACAGCGACTACTTTTTCAGCAGCACACTATTAGCAGATTTGATGGGGGACTCGGGATGCGCAATTTATGGCAAATGACTGCAAAAGCTTTGGTTTGCCTTGCCTAAGAGCGGACACGGACTGCTTTTAGTTACAAACAGAGCAATGGGACGAGATGAGGGAGAGCATGAGCCTATATTTATCCGGGTGAGGGGGTGGCTGACCGAATATTCAACATTTAACCGAATATGTGCAAACAATCAGCACTTGTTTTTACGGGAGAGAAAGAAAAAAGTGCTTTTTAGTGCTGTTCGTCGTCGGATGATGGGGCATGTACGCGAGAGCGTAGAAACTCTTGTGCTTCTGCTTTTCGCTTCGGATCATTCATCGCTTCCATGAACTCACGCGTCTGTCGCGCACGAACGCGATACGAAGTCGTGCACAACAACCTTCGTATAGTAATAAAGTATCGATATTCAGTCCGGAAACCCCTAGCTAGAACTAAAAGCGTTTAAACACACGCATTTCGTACCAGCTGCCGCTCCCGATGAGTCCAAATGCAAGCACAGCTCCGTCACAAGCTTTACGCATGGATCTCGTGATGCGAAAACGATGCGCCCCAAGAGCTGTTCCCATGGCAATACCCCACATAAGCCCCGAGCGAAAGCATGGAGGGTTCTTGAGAACAACGTCTGTCGACATGGTGATGGTTGAGTTCAGAACACACGAAACGAATCCTTTGATTACTATTGTAACGATTACATTGTAGAGCACTTTTCTTGCAGTGGAGTACTGCGTTCACTATCTTGAAATCGTTGCTCTTGCGCTGTAAAACATGCATAAAATGCTGTAGTAAGCATGGACTTTATTCAACTCGGAACTGTGTTCGATCTTTCCCTACAATTTGTCTTTTACACCCAGCTATACACACATTAAGTTGCATAATAACGGCAGACTTCTAGCGTGTAACGTTCGATAAGTTCCAGGACAACCTATACAAAGTGTACAAACTACCTGAAGACCTTGTATCTCTACTACAGCCGACACCTTCAGTTTGCAGCATTGTGTAAAACATCGTTCAGCTCAAGCTCTTCAAGCTCTTGGAACGTCCAGCATTACGTATTTGTTATCGTTGAAGTTGTCGACTCGTCAGTTTGTAACTTCCATCATGACATGGTACGGACGAGACTTGACATAAGTTGGCTCATCCACTTGTTCAGAGCGTGAGTCACTTCTTGAACTCAACACGCGCAAATTTGGTGGCTGCGCTCTTTTCCACTTGGACGGCTGTCAATTACACCTCGAAATGAGTTCACAATTCTTTTTTCAACACCAGTTTTTTCGCTCGGGATCGGTCTGAACTTGAGCTTGGATAGGCCGTACTATACGCCTGCCGTCTGATTGAACGATCATCCCTTGTCGCACGGCTCTTTCGGTTTTGCTTAAAGTGCGCAGGGTTGTAGTCATGAGGTGCTTGTTCCATTGAGTCAGTGCTTTCACTCAAGGTGTTGCGACATTTGCGGCGTGTCGATCCACGATTGTATTTACTTTACGTACAGAGGCTGCTACTTCCGTCAGCGCTCTACGAAAGCTGCCGGCACATGTTATGTGGGTTGTTGCTTTCTAATAATGCGTCGAGTGTGGGGTCCAATATGTGAAACGTGTTGAGTTAAGAGGCTCCGTCTTGATGGCGCGTCTTGTGACGGGAAGGCACTTGAGTGACAGTGAGGTATGCAGCATTCGAGGAATGTAGTACGCTCCAAAACTATTCACCTTCAATGCTACTTGCTTACGGTTCTGGCAGTAAACGACTTCATCTAAAGCACATAGCCAACGCGCGAGCAAGAACTCAGCTGCAAGAGCTTTATCAAGCCGCCAAGCTGCAGCAGATGTAGATATCCAGTGTTCAAGCCTCAACATCTTTATCTGTAAGTGCATTTCGGACATGGATCACCTGTAGAGCTCTTAGATGAGCTTGATGTTGTCAGTGTAGTCAATATGGTACGTAACCTTTTCCTGGAGCTGTATCATGGTAACGAAAAAGTAAGTGATTGCACACGTACGTACATGCATCCGCATCATCGCGACATGGTCGAGAGCGGGTAAATCCGATAGTTCTAAGGTTGGTCGGGTGTTCTCCTCCACCGTTTGTCGATGCTTTACGTCCTACATGACTCTCACGTGTCCCTGATCATGCATATTTCTGCAAGACAAGCTCGATTTCCGTTTCACCTATGCGGAATCTTCCAAGGCATCGCGAAAGTACCTTCACAGCCAAGATGTGTGTACTTCCCCGTCGATGGAGAAGGTAGCGGCAAAAGGGATTACAAAGAACCAGAACTTTAACTTTGTAGGATCAGCAAAAACGATGCACTATCGCGATGGTCGCTGATGCGGGCAGAAACGCACTCGTTGCCCGAATGCAGGTCAACTACGAGTAAAGTAGGGTCGGGTATGAAAGAAATTTGACTTCCGATACGTCCTTAGAGAGTCTTCAGTCGTCAGCAAAACTTCATTTACTGTCCAATCAAAAAGCATTTTTAGTTACGCTCATAAAAGTCACCACAGCCGCACAATTACTCAGGGGATAACTCCAAAAAGTTTATTTTTTAGTCATCACGTTTACGTTTTATAGTTCTGTTCAAACTAAAATCAGTATTTCAGCTGCACATCACTTTTCCAGGATTGTGCAATCAATCAGCTCATTTACTAGCATTCGTTCCATGTCATTGGCCGCAGTTGATTGAGATAAACGGACTGATCCTAAACCACGACGAACTCCGAATCGATACAGGTAAGAATATAAAATCGTACGAAATAATCACGCGATCAAAACTCCCACCAGCCATAATAGGCCATAACTAGACTTATACTATAAAGGTTCACCAACTGCTGTGAAGTTTTCAGCGTAAATGTTTGAGCCAGAGCTATACTGATAAACAATGCACGGAAGTTAAGTTGTACTCACTGATGGAGATGCTCTTACTGACTGCCGATACACTCAAAAAGTATAGTCACGGAGCAAGGCCACGCAAAAGGGAGCGAAGTTGTCCATCTCTTTTTATGCATGAACGTAAAAAGAAGGGATAATCAGCGGACCAAGCTGCCCTCTGCGTAGCACCACTATAACTATTAACTCGATATCACTGACCAAAAAGCCTCGATAGAGAATAGTTCGTTCGCCAAAAAGACCCTTACTGAGCCTAACATTATTCCTAAATACATCGAAAATTATCTAAATTCCACTTTAAGCTTTAAATCGCGCTCATGCGCCGAATGGCTTCTCGTGGTTCAAAAGCTTGTGTGACTTTGTAGCACATTCAAAAGCATTCATGATACTCATAAGGGGAATGTAAATTTGAATGGTGCAAACTGATCGGCGCGAATGATTGCTTTCATGGACAATGTTGTAGGAGAATAGATGAAGCCATTTTTGGACCTCAAACTATGCTACCGAATTCTATAGAAAAATTCGAAAATGAATTTGTCACTATGTCACAATGCGCAGGTGAGTGAACGTACATAGTGCGGTAAAGAGAAACCAACGGAAACTTGATTCACGTTGAGAAAATTTGGAAGTGAAGAGAAAAAATCTCGAAGGCAACAAAACTCTGTAAGACTAATACAACACAAAATGGTTACACGGCTACACGACGGAGTTTTCAACGGGTAAATGTATACCGAAACGGTAAATGTAGTAAAGGTCGCGGCGCGACTCAGCTTCATGCAAACCACACTAGAACTAGGGAACTCACATCATCTCCTTCGTCACACTCCCAACTCGATGTCCCTTATTATCTTGTAGTGTGATTTACTACAACTGAAGAGGTGCTAGTTAACCATTTAATAGATGACTTAGCTACTTGAATGCGTAAGGTCAAGCAGCGTGGTTCAGTTGTCTGCTAGAATATCTTCTGACGTGCATAAAAACATACTTCTCCTGCTCATCGCAATCTAATAATTTGTGCTACTATTAGATCGACAATATCAACTTAAGATTCCACGTATTTGCATTAATCTCCTTGATTGCCTCTTGACTGCCTTCACATAAAATCTTTCATTGGCAAAAAAATTGAGCTCAATACGCATATGCTATCATATTTTCATCAAGCTAAAAATAGCTAGAGCCAAGAACTTCGTAAACACGTATTGTCAGTGAGAAACCGGAGCTCGAGACTTTCATAAGCACGAGTGTAGTTGTCCGTGTATGTCAGCCGTCTCTTTCTTTCCCCGTTTCTGATCGCTGTCAAGCTGCCGAACGCCTCTGCTATGCAAGTGCGCGAGCGCCGAAAAGGTTTACGCATTCTGCCTTGCGTGAAGCAGATCGATATGCTAGCTGCTGAGTTCCCGGCGCAGACGAATTGCTTTTTATGTTTGTTTATTTTAATTAGATATATTAAACTTTTTTATTTAATAGTTTGAAAAAACACAATTAATAACCACAAATACCTGAAGGAGTCTTGAATTGGATAAAATGATATTTTATGTCATATTTTAAAGTATTTAAAGGGATTTTTTGTTATTAAAAAACCATTTTTTATGGTTTTGGTTTATTTAAACGTAAATTTAGAGCTCGTCACTATGAGATGGATTCAAATTCATAACGGATGAGCATTGTATCTGCAAGGATGATCGATTTGCATCATTATGGGTGCCTAATTTATCCCGGGTCATCAAATTCGAGAAGTACATAGAATGCGATAAATTTTTCAGTGCTTTACAAACGTTATCATAATCGTATACTGTCACACAAGAAACGGTGGGAGCTAGAAAGCATCGTCGATGCTCAAGCTACCGCGAATTGCATCAAATATGCCACAATGCTTACTTCTTCCTGTCAAGATAATTGTATGAAAACATCTGTCGGTATATTCGGCTACTTTAGCCTTTCCGATACAATGCCGTAGTCAGACGTTCCAGTCAATAGCGAAAGACTCGCTTGGCTAGCATACAATGACCGTTCGTATGGCAATCAAAAATTTATACAAAGTTCGACTGCATTGGTGATTTCGAGACGCGGGCACTATGAGCTAAACAATACAACAAATCAACAATCTGCAGATGATCCTCATCTGAATACGGGTATACGCATACCCGTTTAACATCCGGGCTCCCATTCACCGATGATTATCTTACAGTTGTGGCATCGAAACAGACCCATGCTTTAACATATAAACCGTGCCATTACCACAAAATAAAAGAGTTGTTAGATTCACTCCCTTTTTGGTTAGATTCACCCCTTTTCTTTCGTTAAATAAACACGTTCAGCAATAAGTTGCTATGGTAAATATTTAGCTGTTAAGTATATTTTTTTTACCCTTTTCGACCCTCGCAAACCGAATTTTGCTATGACTATAGGTCATCACCCGGTGGCCAAGCGGCCTCACTAATTAATATTACCTTAGGACAAAGCTATACCAGGGGGGTATAAGATGGCTTTAACGCTCTTGCGTACGCTATTATTATATCATAATTATAAGTACAGTCTTCCCTCCGATAAGTTTCCCCCAGATAAGCTATATCATCTAGTAGGTTATCGATATCCGCGATCGCGGACCCCGTTTTATGGCCGCTAAGTTTTAATTTTTAAGTTATGATTAAATAGGGCAATATGACTGTAAAAACGAGCACTTGTTTTTGTATTATAGAAGGGAAGAATACTTGGACCACATCTCAAGGGTAGTTTGGGTGGTGGAAGTGTTGCGACGATAAAGCTGGAGGCTGAAAAGGACTTTATAAGCAGCTTGGTGACTTTCCTGGGATACGTCGAGCAAGAAGCAAGTATCACGAAGAAGGTTACTGTTCTCGGTTCTGGTAAAAAAAATTGCGACAGATGCCGCA